TAGTTAATTACCCCCTTACAGCTTTTAGTAGGCGGGACAGACGCTTAAGCCGGCCAAGCTGACAGTAATCTAGTGAGAGTCCCCACAGGGATAGATCGATCTAAAAATCTATGGAAATGGGGTGTTACACGTCGAAATCCATTTTGATGGTTGTGTTTGCTCCCTGTATGTTTTGTAACATACATAACACTACATGGTATTAGATTGGCTTAATTCTTCTGGTTAGACATTGTAATCACATGGTATAAAATCAATTGTAATAGCAATTGAAGGAACAGCAGAGGATTAGATTGGCTCATTGTGGTTAGAAATTGTAACCACATGGTCTTAAATCAAGTGTGTTAGCAATGAGTGGGCAACAAAGAGATAAGATTGGCTTAATTGGCATGGGAGCTAGTCAGAATTAGGCAACCTGAACTGGTTGGTAGGAAGATAGGCAATTCAGTTAACTGGAACTCTTTTGGCATACAGCTTTACATACAGCTTTACATACAGCTTTTGTAGTGAATATGTTTTTGCCTCGCCTTACTACATACCTGCTCATATACAGATCTGAACACACCTTTCCACCTTGCCTCACTGTGAAGTTTTAAGCTGTAGTGAATATGGAGCTCAACCTGAGGCTAATTTTCACCTTGCTGTACTCACATTACATAGCTGTTCATATACAGGTATAAACATGTTTTCAGCATACTAGTACTTTACTCTATACCAGCATATATGTTTTCTGTAGTGGAGATGCACATGTACTTTAAAACTGTATAGTATATGACAATTATATTGATCCACAACATGCCAAGTTGGTTTGAAAGAAGTTTTTGTCGAAATTTTGCTAGACTAGAGAATTGATAGCACATACTTGGCAAGTGACTCTGTCTGTAACTTCAGCAGATCTTGGATGTTGCTGAAGGAGGAAGAGAGGGTAAAAGAGAGTAGAGTTGGCCCCTTGTGACTCAGACCTTAGAAGACAGTTACAAGGGTGAAATTTTTCAGAATTATGCCTGATTTCAGGATTTTCAATCTAAATTTTGATGTTTTTTTCATATGGTACCATATATGCAATGAAAAACTGCCAGCTTTATACGTTGCTAGGATATTTAGTTTTCACAACTTTCACCCATGCGGCCTGGGGTCTAGGGTTTTTTTTTTATCAACATTTTCCAACATCTACAAAAGGTATACTTTTTTTCCAGACCCC